TTTTTTTATTTTAAAAACAAACAAGCAAGCCCTGTCCAGATTTAAAACGTAACGTAATGCAGTACTTTCCATAAAAAGTAACTAAGTAACGTAATTAGTTACTTTTTTATGGAGTAACGCAATATTGTAATGCATTACTTTTAACAGTAACTTTCCCCAACACTGGTTACCGAACGACTGTTGAAAACTGCTGTACTGTCGCACAGAAACTGAAATATCCAGTATAGATTGCTAATAGAGTCACTCACCTCACATCTGCATTGACCGCTAAAGAGAAATAAGAAATGCATGAGAAACAGAAGTGTGTGTGCCGCGGCCCCGGGCCCCATGCTTGAGCTATAGAGCACAGAACACCTGTGGATTCATCTGATATCAGCACAACAATGCTGTAAAAGATGATGGAGCTGATAGGAGAGACAGCAGATCAATGATTGACAGAGCTGTAAATGCTGTGAGATCATTACTTCAGCTCTCACTGGTTCAAAATCACGATAATACAGTCATGAGCAGAACAAAAAACAGGTTTGTCAGAACATTCGCAACAACTAACAGAGTTTCTAATGGAGAAAAATGTATCAGAAACAACACAAGTACCTAAAGAGATAACAGCACTGCAAAAAGTGGCTTTGAAGAAAATTAAAAACTACATAGAAGAAGAAACCTTGGGAAGAGCTGAGATTCAGCAGACGCAGCCCAATCTGTTGGATTACACATATGTTACTTGGAGCCTGGAGCACAAAACCAGTCATAAGGGTCAATTTTTTGAAATTGAGATTTATACATCATATGAAAGCTGAATAAATAATCTTTCCATTGATGTATGGTTTGTTAGGATAGGACAATATTTGGCTGAGATACAACTATTTGAAAATCTGGAATCTGAGGGTGCAAAAAAATCCAAATACTGAGAAAATCATCTTTAAAGTTGTTCAAATGAAGTTCTTAGCAATGCATATTACTAATTAAAAATTAAGTTTTGATATATTTATGGTAGGACATTTACAAAATATCTTCATGGAACATGATCTTTACTTAATATCCTAATGATTTTTGGCATAAAAGAAAAATGTATAATTTTGACCCATACAATGTATTGTTGGCTATTGCTACAAATATACCCCAGCGACTTAAGACTGCTTTTGTGCTCCAGGGTCACATATTAGGTGATGTATTCTGCTACTTTTGAATTACATTTGACATAGCTCAAATATTTCCCAATCTTTGTTCTCAACATCATGAAGTGCATTAAACATTACATATGCCAGGGTTTCCCAAACTGGAGTTCATGAAAGAACTGCAGAGAGTTTGTGAGGAGATGAAAAGCTAATGATGAAATAAATCGTCAAAATATCGGAATCAGGTTACTGTGAGACGGAGTAGCAAAGTTCTTATGTTCAGCGGTTAAGATAAAACTATTAAACACTGAGGGCCAGATTTCCTGATGATGAGACTTGGCTGAATAAGATAAGATAAGATAAATCACAGAGAAAGACAACATAATGACAAGTGTGTGTGTGTGTGTGTGTGTGTGTGAGACACTGAAGCCTGGAGTAATATTATAAAATATATCCAAACAGCATTACTGTTTCTTCTGTGCCAAATAAATACAGACTTGCTGAGCAGAAGAGACTTCTTTCAAAAACATTTTAAAAAATCCAAATTTAATATATATATAACGTGTTAATATATAAACACACTGTGTGAAAAGAACAACACATCAGGCTCTTCAGAAGAGTGCCGTAAAACCCTTTATAACCAGCTAGAGCTAGTAAAGATAACAAGACTCACCCTAACTCATCAGCTTAAGATAACAGGACTGAACTAGTCCTCATACTGACAGAGACTCACAGCTCTGACCAAACCTTCATGCCAGACGGAATAATAAATCCAAAATAATTAGGGATAAATGAAACATACAGACAAAACCAAAGCCAAGACCTTCACACTTTGACTATTACAAAACAGCAAAGAGAACTATACAACCTACTCGATTCGGCCGAGAAAAATATAATGATTCCATTTTCTGCCAAGCATAACTCATTTACTATAATGTACTATTGCTAGATTTCACCAGAGGAAATGATAGTTTATCAGATGTTTCAAGTGCGCACATATTTCCCAATCACACTGAACCTTTGTGTTTTACGTCATGTGTTACATTGTTTAATGTGAATTTCTATATTAGATACTCTAATTCTGTTCACATCATACAGGTTGATATTTCAGACCTGTTGTTGTTGATAGATCTGTGATAATAACCTAGCCTTGAATACATCATCAACCGTTGAGATCAGCCAACTCAGTGAGATAATTTCTTCAGTGGATGAAAAACAGGCCCTGCAGAGCACGTCCTAAAATAATGCTTTATTAAATACAGAATTGAGATACCTTTACATTTGTTTTGATTCAAACGGAGGTAAACCTGTTCTGAGCTCATGAAATAAATCACACGCAGCAGAAGATTAGTGTAGCTCTTTATTTCTGGAAACAGCATAACTGTACACTGTACGCTACATGTTAGTGTGTGTGATGATCAGAGATACAGTCTGAGAACAGACCCGTGACCAACACAGATGGTCGGTTCTCCTCACACCAGCAGACAACAGCTGAGCCTAACAGAGCAAACTGAATCAGAGAAATAACAGACGGCAGGAGTTAAAACGGAGAATCACGATGCTTTTGATTGAACCAGAGATCACGATTCTCCCACGATTCTGAACAGACAAATAAACTGTGACATTTACTAAAGGTTCTGACAAAAAAAAAAAAAAGAATTAATTCAAAAATGATTTTTTTTAAATGGGTTTGAATTTATGATTCAATGACTCACTCATAAAATGACACTAGATGAATTAACTTTTTTGAATGAATCTCCTAAATGAATGATTTGATGTGCTTTGACACTTGATGAATCAGTGTTTTGAACAAACCTCTTTAATGAATGATTCAAAATGACTCACTTAAAAATTTCTCGTTTCATTACCAGATGAATCAGTGTTTTTGAACAAATCTCTTGAATGAATGATTCAATGACTCACTTATAAAGACTTCACTTATTTCATTACTAGATGAATCAGTGTTTTTGAATTAACCTCTTGAATGAATGATTCAATGACTCACTCATAAAGACTTCACTTGTTTCATTACTAGATGAATCAGTGTTTTTGAATGAATCTCCTGAGTGAATGATTTAATGATGTGCTTTGACACTTGATGAATCAAGTATTTTTGAACAAATCTTTTGAATTAATTATTCAATGACTCACTCAAAGACTTCGCTTGTTTCATTACCAGATGAATCAGTGTTTTTGAACAAATCTCTTGAATGAATGATTCAATGACTCACTCATAAAATGACACGTTTCATTACTAGATGAATTAACTTTTTTGAATGAATCTCCTGAATGAATGATTTGATGTGCTTTGACACTTGATGAATCAGTGTTTTGAACAAATCTCTTGAATGAATGATTCAATGACTCACTTATAAAGACTTCACTTGTTTCATTACTAGATGAATCAGTGTTTTTCAATGAACCTCTTGAATGAATGATTCAATGACTCACTCATAAAATGACACTTGTTTCATTACTAGATGAATTAACTTTTTTGAATTAATCTCCTGAATGAATTATTTGATGTGCTTTGACACTTGGTGAATCAGTGTTTTGAACAAATCTCTTGAATGAATGATTCAATGACTCACTCATAAAGACTTCACTTGTTTCATTACTAGATGAATCAGTGTTTTTCAATGAACCTCTTGAATGAATGATTCAATGACTCACTCATAAAGACTTCACTTGTTTCATTACTAGATGAATCAGTGTTTTTCAATGAACCTCTTGAATGAATGATTCAATGACTCACTCATAAAGACTTCACTTGTTTCATTACTAGATGAATCAGTGTTTTTGAATGAATCTCCTGAGTGAATGATTTAATGATGTGCTTTGACACTTGATGAATCAAGTATTTTTGAACAAATCTTTTGAATTAATTATTCAATGACTCACTCAAAGACTTCGCTTGTTTCATTACCAGATGAATCAGTGTTTTTGAACAAATCTCTTGAATGAATGATTCAATGACTCACTTATAAAGACTTCACTTGTTTCATTACTGGAAGAAATCAGTTTTATGAACGAATCTCTATACAGAATGATTCAATGACAAACACATTTTTGAACAGTCACTTGTCGCCACCTACTGGAGGAACAATGTAATCCACACAATCTTTATTTGAAGCATCACTTTACTTTCAAAAGATGATGTACTGTATTTTGATTGCTACTGTAGATATGAGTATTTATATCCAAACTATAACCTCTCATCTCAGTACTTCTGTGACAATTTAAATGTTAGTAACAGAAATAATGACACTGTTTGGTTGTGTAGCTACTCAGATTCCCCTTCAGTTTGCGTCGTCAAGCAAGCACAAACTGAACAGCTCGTTCAGCACAGCTTCTCCGTGTTTACCGCTGAACTGTGCTCGGTGTGTGACAGCATGGGACAGGGCTTTTTTATGTGATTCTGCAGATCGCTGGACTGAGTGAATCTCCTCCCGCAGGCGGTGCAGAGGTAGGGTCTCTCTCCGGTGTGCACACGCTCGTGCCTCTTCAGCGCTCCAGAGTGAGTGAAGCCCTTCCCGCAGTGCGAGCAGCTGTAGGGTTTCTCTCCGCTGTGGATCTTCTGGTGCTGTTTCAGAGCGCTGGATCTGGTGAACGTGTCTCCGCACTCGAAGCATATGTGAGCTCTCTCGCCCGTGTGGATCTTCTGGTGATCGTTAAGACAGCCTAGGCGCAGAAAGCCCTTCCCGCACACGCCGCACACATACGGCTTCTCGTTCGTGTGGATTTTCAGGTGCGCCTTCAGGTTTGACGCCAAAATGAAGTTTTTCCCACACTGCTCACATCTGAAAGCCCGTTCGCCTGAGTGCGAGCGCTGGTGGTCTTTGAGGTTGGTGGCGCACTTGAAGCTCTTCCCGCACTGATCGCAAGCATACGGACGCTCGCCGGTGTGGATGCGAATGTGGCGTTTCAGGTGTCCTTTACAGGTGAAGCTCTTCTGACAGTGAGGGCAGCTGAAGGGCTTGACTCCGGAGTGGATCTTCACGTGTTCGTTGAAGTGTCCTTTATGTGTGAAACTCTTCCCGCACTCGGGGCAGACGAACGCATTACTGGCTTCTTGCGAGACTTTCTTTTTAATTTCTGAGCGACTGAACGATTTTCCTCCACTTTTGAACCCGTCAGCTTCCTGATACGGAAGTTTCACTCTGCTTTCTTCTTTCTCTTGCATCAGCTCTAACACAAACACAGTAAACGGCCAAAAATCAGTAAACAAAAGTGCAACAGCTGTTATACAAAATGATGATCAGTGCTGTATCTTTCCTCATATTATTTAACAATGTTATTTTAGGTGAAACAGCAATTATAAACCACTACCGTACATGACAACTAATAGAAGTTATAAGTATCTTATATTATAATTATAAAGGATTTACAAAACAAAAACTCACTGTGACGTACTTTCAAAAACTGTAGACTGTTTTTTTCACATTCTGGGTTCATTTGGACTCGAAGAATCATTATTTTATAAAACAGTCATAACTTAATATTTTCCTACTAAAACCATATAATATCTGATCAGCAACTTCTCGTTATTTAAGATTATTTTTATTATTTATTTATAACTCATTTCAACATTGATGACATATTAGAACATTTAAGTTCTAATCTTATATTCTAAACAAATAACAATATGTCAGAAAATAAGATTTACTCTGAGAATTACCCCGATTGGAATGAACTCCAAATTTATGAAACCTACATATTTATTTCTATCAAAACAACATTAATATTATTCTAAAAAATAAAAGAGTGTAGCACTGAAACCCTATTGTATTTGTCAGGATGTTTTTGTTATTTTTCCGCCGTGCAGACCATACTGTACGGTCTTAAGAGCTGCCACAGCAATTTGTCGTAGACCCAAGTGTCTTATATCATTGGAATCCTTGGCTCCAAAAAAAAAAAAAATCAAACAAGATTTGATTTCCGGTATGCAAATTTTCCCGCCATTTTTACTTTTGCGAACTAGTCCTAGGTTTTTCGCCCGATCAAAACCAAGCCAGTGCAGAAATATTCTCTGGACAATGAATATCAATAATTATAATTATAATTATCTAAAAAAAAAGTTGCATTTTCGTCTCACCGTCACAAAGTGGCACCAAAACGTTTGAAAGAGGCGGAGCCACTTTTACTAAAACGCCTATAACTCTTGAACAGAATGAGATATCTACATCAAATTTGGTACACATGTGTAAGAGCTCAATCTTTGGTCAAATAAAAAAAAAAAATGCGGCGCTTGACCACTTGGTGGTGCTATAAGAGGGAAAAAATATAAAAATGTTTAGTCCGATCGACTTGGTATGCTGTGTCTTTGTCCAATGAGCCACAAGAGTCTATGAGGACATTTGCGTATGTCAAAAAACATGGCCGCCATCGGCCAATGAAGTTTGAGCACCTATTATGATGCGTTAAAGTCCTCCTGGGACGTTCGTACTTACAAGTTGACAAGTTGTAATTACGACGTCAGGTGCGTTCAAATCAGTTTAGTCGGCACAAGATGGCGGTGTACCTTCTTTTAATAAATTACAAGAAAATACAACAGGGTCTGCACTTTTTTACTTGGATTTCAGCTGCGTAACAAGAACATGACCAATTTAAGTTTATAGGACAACTAAACTATCAATTTAAACAAAAATTTACCGTCAACTACAGACGTTGCATCCATCGATTCCGTCATGTTTCTCATTGACACGCCCCCAACTCGGAAACGCGGGGCTTAAAGAAAATTTCGAGTTTCCCACTCGTAATAACGACTTTGTGGTGGCGTTCATGTGCGCTCAACTTGTAAATACGATCTATCCGACATGACTTGAACGCACCATTAGACAAGGTTAAAGGAGGCTGATCGAAACGAAACTTGGTGGGCACGTTCGACTCATAGCCCTAGAGGTCTGTAACAATTTTGAAGGAAATCGGCCACAAGGTGGCGCCAACGAGATTTATGCCTTGTTTCACACATCCACACAATATTCATATCACTTGATAGAGCTCCTCATACTGAGCAACTTTGCCTCAAGAACCAACAGCGTCAATCAAATCCATGAAATATTTTCAATTATATTAAAATCCAACTTTTGCGAACAAGTCCAAGGTTTTTTACTCAACCTCAATAAAACCACTGCAGCACAATTCTCCGGCCTCTCTAGATCAACAATTAGCAAAAAAAAAATTTGAATTTGACCCCTTTTGGGAGCTATAACGCGGTCGTTTAGAAAAGGGGCGTGGCCAAAATAGCCCATAACTTCTAAACGAAAACTCAAAACTTTAAGCAACTAGGTGAGCACATGTGTCAGATGATTCTTAACAAGCATGCAAAGATTTATAGAGGTTGACCCATAGGTGGCGCTATAACTGCTATAACAGTTAATAAACATATTTCTATGATAAATGACCTGGAATTGCCATAAATGCTCTTTTTAATCACTGATCTGAGACAGACGCGTTACATCCCTCTCTAGTCTTCTCTACTAGCATTAGTTTCTAAACCAACTCTGAATGAAACTGAAAAGCAGATAATAATCGTCAGCAGTCATTAAAGAAGAATTAAGAAACATCACCGACCTCTGTGCTCCTCAGTCTCTTCCTCTCTCTCTCCGTGTGTCTCTGCATCACTCTCCTCTTTAACAAACTCCATCTTCACAGTAATGTCACGCAGATCTCTGATCCTAAATCTGTTTTTTCCTGCTTGCTTGGAAACGACACGTTTACGGAGATGGAAATATTGCCATTTATTGTCCTGAATCCCAGTTCGCACACATCTAGTAACTTACATCGTCTCTACAGTTTTTACACCTCAGAGTTTGTGGTAATCCAGTTCTACCACGTCGTTGAAACGGAGCGCTTTATCGCTTTACGTCGCTTTTCGGAGAAGCAAACCCACCCTTCGCTGCGCGAAACCGAAACGCGTTTCTTCTTCTCTATAATTTCCGGCGGGTTCGGTGCATTTCCGCCCCCTATTGGATGGAGTGAGACGAAAGAAAAACCCTTATATGCTAAATTGACATAGTAGACTGTGCTCTCACAACACTGGTAGATCAAAGACGTTTTTAACTAAAATACCATAGAGTCCATAATCCATAATAACGCTTCCTCCAGTGAGTCAGTGTTCTGGTGTGAATCAGGAGAGAAATCTGCACAGATCAAGCAGCGTTTAAACAGCTCTAAACAAATATGTGGCTGGATTTTGATGAGAGAGACAACAGCAGATGCACTTTTTCATGTTTCACTTTTTCCGGAAGCAATGGTTTGAAGTTAAAAAGATAGCAGATATGTCAGGCTGGTCAGAGATCAGATGTGCTCCAATCACTTAACGTGTACATGAATAAATGCATAATAAAGAACAGAAAAAAGGAGACACGTTTTCGCTGCTGTATCATTCAGCGCACACAAGAACGTTATGCGAACGTTAGAAGAACATTACATTGTATCGTTTTGAAAATGCTATGAGAGCGTTATATTGGAGCTACTGAAAGTTCTGCGAGGATACAAGTAACCGAGAACATCATTTCCTCTCGACACTAAAATGTTTATCAGATATTAAGATGTTATAGGAATGTTGCATTATTTTAAGAATGATTTGTCCTAACATTTAAAGACAGTGCCCAGAATCATCTGCTCTCAGTCTTGTAGATGCATGATCTTCTCTCTCTAGTCTTCTTCTAACAGATGGTGGCGGCAGTGCTCGGCTTTAGTTGGACAGCCGCTGTTAAAGCGCAGAGGAACTCGTTTTTGTGTTTTTGGGGCCCGTGACGCCATCAGGACTGCGCCGGGGCTGCGGAGGATCGAGCCAGAGGAGCTTCGCGTTTCTGAGCCGAATATTGTGCGTTTGATGTGTATGACACGATACGAAAGATGGAGTCATGTTTTACTAAAGTATTCCAGCGACATTGTTACCCTTGATTATTAGATCATTGACTGATGTAAAGTGTAATGATTCATGTGAGGTGTGTTGCTGGGTAAATATTGTAACTTATATGGTGAAATGCCATTGGTTTTCTTCTCATTGATATTATCATCTTAAACGTGACGAAGACAGAGACTTCCTAATATCTGCTGTAAAGATGGAGTTTGTTAAAGAGGAGAGTGGTGCAGAAACATGCAGCGAGAAAGAGGAAGAAACTGAGGAACAAAAAGGTTGGAGTTGATTATTAATTCTTCATTAATAACAAAATACGAGCATCAAAGTAACAAAGCCTTGACAGCCAAAATGCCATAAAATGCGACAAATCTATTTATTAGGGTTGTCGATTTTTTTTTATATCTAATTAATTTATACAACAAGCTGTTTAATTAATCTAATTAATCACACATCAATGTTGGCTGAGAAATTACCCCTGAAAAGATGATTTAATTGTGTGAAATGAGAAAAGAGCATTGAATACGCATTACAAAAAGTAGCTTTAGAAAGAAATATTTTGATTCAACATTGTATAACTAATAGGTTTGTTTTTATTGAATATTGAAATATTAAATAATTTGTTTTAGAAAATTAAGTGATTGAAAAAAATGTTTTAATAAAATGATACTCTAAATATGAAACTAAAACTGCCTGTCTTAATACGCGAGAGTCATTGAGTCATTCACTCAACCGATTTGTTCCAACAGATGATTCATTCAGAAGCGAAGCAAGCGACTTGCTCAATTCGGAGTACTAGCACACTACGCTTACTATTTCTGCCAGAGAAAGATATGCTAAAAGTATTAAGAGAGTATTATATTAGTATGCGTTTACGAATTCAGCAACTATCTTTATGAATGAGTCACTGAATCATTGACTCACTCGATTCGTTCAAATCCACGGATTGATTCAGTAACGAAACACTGCTGTGTGTTGCTCAACAGTTCTGCTGTGGCTTTGACGGGAACTATTTTATTTGTAGAAATTGAGCAGAAAAGGCTTGTCTTTTTAATGTAACACGATATGTTCATCAGCAACTACATCAATGAAAGATGACATACAGGTCTGAGCATGTTAACATGCTTTAACATGTTAATTTGGTGCAATTAATTTGGGAAAAAATAACATGTTAAATTGACACCCCTAGTTATTATAGTATAGTTACATCAGCACATTAAATATCCCTCTATTTGAGCTTTTTTTTGGCCTGTCATATTTGTTGTACTCATTGTTTTTGTTGTTCACTATGTTCACTTTAGACGTGACGGAAGTGAAAGGTGAAAGTCAAGAACTGAATGAGGTGAAGGAGAAGCACCAGAGTCAGGAAAAGTCTTCTAGTTCCTCAGACACTGAAAAGAACGTTTCACAAAAAAGAGCGGACGCTAAAGGCTCGTTCTCCTGCTCTCAGTGCGGAAAGAGGTTCACTCGTAAAGGACACCTGGAGGTTCACATGGTGATCCACACAGGTGAGAGACCATACACCTGTCCTCAGTGCGCCAAGAGCTTCACCTGCAAAGGAAGCCTTAAGGATCACTTCAGGATCCACACCGGAGAGAGACCTTTCGCCTGCCCTCAGTGCGAAAAGAGCTTCACAAACTCAGGAGGATTGAAGAGGCATGTTCGGATTCACACCGGAGAGAGGCCTTTCACCTGCCGTCAATGTGCAAAGAGCTTCCCGAGCTCAGGAGAGCTGAAGAGACACATACGGATTCACTCGCGAGAGAGACCTTACACCTGCCCTCAGTGCGGAAAGAGCTACAAACAGAAGGAGGTTCTGAGGGAACACGCCAAAATCCACTCCGGAGAGAAGCCTTTCACCTGCATGCTGTGCGGGAAGAGCTTCACACAACAGAGCACACTCAAAGTTCACATGAAGGTCCACTCAGGAGAGAAGTTACACCAGTGTCCTGAATGCGGCAGGAGGTTTTCAGAGGTTATGAATGAGTCACTGAATCATTGACTCACTCGATTCGTTCAAATCCACGGATTGATTCAGTAACGAAACACTGCTGTGTGTTGCTCAACAGTTCTGCTGTGGCTTTGACGGGAACTATTTTATTTGTAGAAATTGAGCAGAAAAGGCTTGTCTTTTTAATGTAACACGATATGTTCATCAGCAACTACATCAATGAAAGATGACATACAGGTCTGAGCATGTTAACATGCTTTAACATGTTAATTTGGTGCAATTAATTTGGGAAAAAATAACATGTTAAATTGACACCCCTAGTTATTATAGTATAGTTACATCAGCACATTAAATATCCCTCTATTTGAGCTTTTTTTTGGCCTGTCATATTTGTTGTACTCATTGTTTTTGTTGTTCACTATGTTCACTTTAGACGTGACGGAAGTGAAAGGTGAAAGTCAAGAACTGAATGAGGTGAAGGAGAAGCACCAGAGTCAGGAAAAGTCTTCTAGTTCCTCAGACACTGAAAAGAACGTTTCACAAAAAAGAGCGGACGCTAAAGGCTCGTTCTCCTGCTCTCAGTGCGGAAAGAGGTTCACTCGTAAAGGACACCTGGAGGTTCACATGGTGATCCACACAGGTGAGAGACCATACACCTGTCCTCAGTGCGCCAAGAGCTTCACCTGCAAAGGAAGCCTTAAGGATCACTTCAGGATCCACACCGGAGAGAGACCTTTCGCCTGCCCTCAGTGCGAAAAGAGCTTCACAAACTCAGGAGGATTGAAGAGGCATGTTCGGATTCACACCGGAGAGAGGCCTTTCACCTGCCGTCAATGTGCAAAGAGCTTCCCGAGCTCAGGAGAGCTGAAGAGACACATACGGATTCACTCGCGAGAGAGACCTTACACCTGCCCTCAGTGCGGAAAGAGCTACAAACAGAAGGAGGTTCTGAGGGAACACGCCAAAATCCACTCCGGAGAGAAGCCTTTCACCTGCATGCTGTGCGGGAAGAGCTTCACACAACAGAGCACACTCAAAGTTCACATGAAGGTCCACTCAGGAGAGAAGTTACACCAGTGTCCTGAATGCGGCAGGAGGTTTTCAGAGGCCTGCAATCTCAAAACTCACCTGCTCTCTCACACCGGAGAAAGACCCTTTCACTGTCAGCGCTGCGATAAGAAGTTTTTCCTGGCCGTGCACTTGAAGACGCACATGAGGATTCATGAAGACGAGCGGCGGTACGTGTGTTCGTTCTGCGGGAAGAGTTTTCTGTGGCTGCACGGTTTTAAAGACCATCAGAAAACTCACATCGGCGAGAAACCCTTCGTGTGTCTGGACTGTGGGAAAACCTTCGCTAGAGCCGCCGAACTGAAAGTGCATGAACGGATCCACACCGGAGAAAAACCCTACAAGTGCTCACACTGTGAGAAGAGCTTCACTCAGTCATCTGGACTGAAAGTGCATGAGAGAGTTCACACCGGAGAGAAACCATACCTCTGTCCCTCCTGCGGGAAGACTTTCAGCCGATACGGGAGTTTAGGAAAGCATTTAAAAAAGGCTTGTCCAAAGCTGAAAAAGTGAGCAAGGTTCACATTCAAGTTTAAAACTTGGATGGAGTTGTACCCCAACAAAAGACCATTTAGGATATTTAAGGGAGGTCAAATAATTAGTTTAGAAAAAACTGCCACATTTCATATTAGTGAATAACAGTTTTTTTGCATGTGGTAGCATTAAAGGAGACATATTATGCCCCTTTTTACAATATATAATATAACATTCTGGTGTCCCCAGAATGTGTCTGTGAAGTTTCAGCTCAAAATACT